GGAAGCTTCAAGTTAATAGATCTTTTAATTGGTAACCCACCGAAGTACGAGAACATGCAGTCCCCACCACCTCAAATCATGCCATCAAATTTCACATATTTGGGGAAATTGCAAGGGTTGGCACACCTGGAGAGCAATGGAATAGCCACGCCTGGGAAACACACTTTTGTGAAAGTGACTTTCCTCCCTGTCAGGGAAAAATTAGATTTTCTGACACCAATGAACATGCAGTCTCTGGATTTCCATCTCTAGTAAAGAGTTCAGACATTAGCAAGCAGGAAACAACACTTGGATGTTTGCAGATTTGTCCAAACCCTAAGATTTGTGTGTCTAGTTTGAGTAAACCAGCTTCCCTGCTCCCCTTCTCACCTACAATCTCCACATGACCTTGGGGATGTTATTTTGTGCTTCTGTCTTTTCCTATATAACTGCTAGATTCATTCAAAAAACACTTAAGCACTGGAGATACGATACTTAGCATAAACTAGCAGTGCCTTTGAGGGCTTGGTGTTAATAACTCTCACTGATGATATCTGCTTGTGAAATATGTTGGAGGATATGCTGTGATAGTCTCTTCAGCTTACCAGTTAGGCACATCCTTGAGTGTGTTTGGTTTTTGGTCACAGTTTTAGTCTTCCTTTCACCTCAGTACAATTTAAAGCTTGAACTTATTTTATTCCGAACAGTCCAAACTCAAACTTAAAGGCATCATATGAGATGTATATGTGTGTATGTTGTGGTTGTTAGTTGCTGTCAAGTTGACTCATACAATAGAATGAACCTTTGCCTTTGCCAGTCCTGTGTCAACTTCATGTTCATTGCTATGTTTGAGTACCAATAGATGTATATAGAAGTTCATTTTTCTGGGGTGTTTTGAACCCATGATACATCTGCAACTATGCAGAGATTTCTGCAGGGAGTGCCCTGACATATGGTTGAAGAAACTGAGGCTGAGCCATCCAATAGGAACTTGCAGCTTTCTAGTTCTCCTCCTTTCCCACCTGCTCTTTTCCCATCCCAGAGACAAATAATTCCATCAAAATCTGCTTCTCATAAGGCCCTGAGAGAAATTTCTCCCTGAAGCACGTTAAGGATCAAACAGGGACAGCAGATTTTCTTAGTCTATTTTTTGAGAGACAGATTATTCTGTGGCCTCTCTGAAGTCATTTTGTCTTTTTTCCCCTGGCCTCCTTGAAACTTACCACAAACTGGAGACAAAGAGCCCCTTTTGGAGTGTAA